GTGCCACCATATTCCTGGGTGCTGGGATCACACGCGTGTGCCACCATGCCTTATTTTAAACTTCTTTTCCCCCATTTTTAAAATGTTCCTTTTGAAACTCCAAAACTGTTTTATCAGAGTTTGAAAGGAAAAAACAAAACAAAACAAAAAACAGGGCTGTCAAACTATCAATCTTGGCAGAGGCCAGGAGGAGGAGGTGAATTAAAGAGGGAGAAAGAAAGTTAATGCCTTTGAGTTAGGGTCCAAGAAAGCAGGCAGATCATCAGCGGAGGCCTGCAAGCAGCTGCGCTGAGGGAGAAAGTTTCCCCACAGAGAAAAAGTGCGGATGTGTAGAGGGGAATGTTGCCTAGGATTTAACACAGCATCCAAAGGAGAGATAAAAGGGCCGGGGGCGGGGTCGTGCTTTTTGAGTTAGAGCTCAGAAAAGTGGGCAGGCCTAGCTGTGGAGATCTGCAAACAACTGCAGAAGTTATGGGGTGTTTTCCTGGTGTGTAGTTGAGCCTCCTTAGCCCATCCTAGAATCTGCTTTGTTTGCTAACAGGGTTTCACCATGCAGCCCTGGCTGGCGTGGGATGCCGTGTAGATCACGGTCTGCAGCTGTGGGAATCCTCCCGCGTGCTAAGATCACAGGTGTCAGCCTCAGCTCCCAGCAGTCCTAGGAGAGCCTTAGTATTTAAATTAGTCTAAGTTTCCCATTGCTGATGTGGCATGGCATACGTTTGGACGCCGGAGGACAACTCTGGAGATGGTTTTCTCCTGCCGCTGTGGGTTCCAGACTCTGAAGTCGAGCTGTCAGGCTTACAGCAGGCATCTTTACTAGCTGAGCCATCTTGACAGCTGATGGCATAATCTTGAATGCAACTAAGGTACTGGTTTCCAGAAATGTCCTCTTAAGGTCTTCCGGGTTGGTCACATGACACTCAAAGGGAGACAGTAACTAATTGCAATAACTAATCAAGATAACAGCTGGGTGTTTCCTGAGTGTCTGCTTCCTACAGGCTGCATAGGACTGGCTTCATTTGTTTCACTTAAAATGCTAGGAAATAGGTAATTATTTACTCCATTTTACAAAGGAGAAAAGTCTGAGGTACAAGGGACTGTTGTAGAAAGTCTGGTGTGTTAGCAGGTGGAGGCACCTGTTCGTGGGTCTGGGCCCGAGTTCTATACCCCGCCCAAGGAAAGAACTAGCTCCGGGAACAGCTTGAGAGTCTTTCTGTGACTACAAGCAGCACACTATGGAATTTGAATGTGCACGCGTGCGCACACACACACACACACACACACACACACACAAATAAAAGTAAATATTTTAAGGTTCCAAACATGGGAGGTAGTTCTCTCAGGGTGAGTTGAGGGACTGGACTAAGTTGTTAACAAAACCCTACCTCAAAATGTGGCACATTTACACAGTGGAGTACTACACAGCAGAAAAAAATAACGACACCTTGAATTTTGCAGGAAAATGGATGGAACTAGAAAACATTATTTTGAGTGAGGTAACCCAGACACAGAAAGACAATTTTCACATGTACTCACTCATAGGTGGTTTTTAAACATAAAGCAAAGAAAGCCAGTCTACAAACCACGGTCCCAGAGAACTTAGACAACAATGAGGACACTGAGACATACATAGATCTAATCTACATGGGAAGTAGAAAATGACAAGATCTCCTGAGTAAATTGGGAGCATGGGGACCTTGGGGGAGGATTGAAGCGGGGAGGGGAGAGGCAGGGAGGGAAACAGAGAAAAATGTAGAGCTCAATAAATATCAATTTTAAAAATAGGAAGAAAAAAGAAGTAAAAAAACATAACCCTGCCTCTAGGAAGACAAAAGTTGAATGTTTTCATCACAAATGATAAGTGTTAGAAGGGACAGATGTTTAACCTGATATAAGCATTATACAATGTATACATATATAAAAACCCTGGCCAGTGTTGGTTAGTATGTATATTGATGCTTTTGTGTATCAGTTACAAATTAAAGCAGGGCGCAGTAACTCATCTCTATCCCAAGAGGGAAGAAGCTGAGCATCATTGAGTTTGGGGCCAGTGGAGGCTGCTTAGTGAGACTTGACTCAGAAGAGAATAAGACAATTCTACTTTTTAAATATTAGACGTGCGGTGGTGGCGCCTGCCTTTAAACCCAAGCACTTGGAAGGCAGAGGCAGTCAGATCTGTGAGTTTGAGACCAGCCTGGTCTACAGAGCAAATTCTGGGACAGCCAGGCATGCACAGAGAAACCCTGTCTGGAACAACAACAGCAACAACAACAAAACGACACAAACAGACACACAAAAATACACCAAAAATCCAGTTTATTATTATTACTTTTTTTTTGAAGTGGGATTTCTCTGTATAATAGCCCTGGGTTATTTTGTAGACCAGGCTGGCTTGAGACTCACAGATCTGCCTGCTGTGGTGAGATACCAGTTAATATCATTTAGATACTTAGATATTTAGATAGATGGGTCAGGATCTGGTGGATGAAAGCTTCTGAGGATGGAAAAGGCAGTTCTTGGAAAAATGTGGTGTCCCTGAGAGATGCTGTTATTTACTTTTGTGCTGTGCTGAATCCCCATTTTCATGCTCAGTGGCCATTCCCACGATTCCCACGTTGAGGCCGTCCCCACCCTTCCTGTGTCCCTTGAGTTGAGCAAGCGCTTCCTGTCCTGCTGTAAATGAAAGTAGAGTTGGGGATCGCTCCGCATGTGTTTACTCTGCAGAATGCTGGCACTGTCTGTTCCGTTATCACAGCAAAACAGTGACGAGAAAGCCAGCAAGCAGAGCTTCATTTCAGAGAGGGTTTGGGTTTAAGGTCTATTGTGATGAAGAGCTAATTTGCTTTTGGAGCGTGTGTGATGGCAGCCGGGACTGAGGAGGGGCTCTGAGGCCGGTCAGTCTCCCTCCCTGTTTTGATCAGATGAGTGGACTTCTGTGGGTCATTCTTAAGTTTTCTTTTCTTGCTACAGCTGCTCCTTTGAGGGCATACTGGAGGTGAGTTTACCGCGACTGCATGGGATTCTCTTACGTTCTAGTCTTTTTTCCTAAAAAGTCTCCTCTTCTCCTCCTTTGTGAGACTTTTGTGAGCTTTTTAAATTTTTCTTTAAATTTTTTTATTTTTTTAAACTTTATTTAACTTTATTTCATGCGCATTGGTATAATGATGTCAGATTCTCTTGAACTGGAGCTACAGACAGCTGCGAGCTGCCATGTGGGTGCTGGGAATTGAACCCGGGTCCTCTGGAGGAGCAGTCAGTGCTCTCAACCACTGAGCCATCTCACCAGACCCTTGTGAGCTTTTCTAAAGAGTTATGTTTTGTTTCTTGGACAGCTCAGAGACGATATCCTAACTCTGCGAACTTCATTCAGCGTGGCGAGAAATTCCACACCTGGTGAGTTTTTCTACTTGTTTAAGCTTCTGGGGTTTTAAGGGCTAAGGAAATAATAGAATAAAAAGTCGAAGCATTGGGCAAGGGGGTCTAATCTGTGACCTAGCCATCAGGAAAACAGGCATGATGATTAGGAGTTCATCCTCTCTGGCTTTGTGGAACCCAACCACAGTTTGGGCTACTTGAGACCCTGTCTTAAAAGTATCAGACAGGGGGGCTGGAGAGATGGCTCAGCGGTTAAGAGCACTGCCTGCTCTTCCAAAGGTCCTGAGTTCAATTCCCAGCAACCACATGGTGGCTCACAACCATCTGTAATGAGGTCTGGTGCCCTCTTCTGGCCTGTAGGCACACATGTAGACAGAATATTGTACACATAATAAATAAATAAATAAAAATATTTAAAAAAAAAAGTATCAGACAGGGCTGGAGAGTTGATTTGGTGGTTAAGAGCTAATACAGAGGACCAGGACCGAGGCTTGGTTCCCAGCACCCACATGGTGGTTCACAAACATCTGTGACTGCAGTTTTAGGGCATCTGATGCCCTCTTCTGACGTTCATAGGCACCGGGAACATACGTGATGTATAATACTCACTCATGATTTAAATAAAGCTAACTTTAAAAAGAAGCATCAAGTATAGGCTGGGGGGCGGGAATGTGGCTCGGTGGCAGAGCGGTTGGTCACCTGACATCATCAAACCAAACAACCAAGCCAAACAAACACCCAAGCAAAACGAGGCACTGCCGAGCGTGTCTATGCTAGTAGGCCTGCTCTAAGGTGTCTGAGACAGGGGGATAATGAGTGAGGTCAGTGAGAGCTGCAGATGAGACCCACCTTACATAAATAGGTAAATAGGTATTAAGTAAGACAGCTTCTCTTGGGCTGAAGACATTACTTTGTATAGCTTAGGGAGTGTCAGAGCGCTGAGCGTACTGAATGGAGAGCCTTTGGTTTTGATCCGCCCTCCAAAAGTAGACAAGTACAACACCAATAAAATAAAGGCTTCCGCGTGTTCAAAAACCGCCAAGCTCCGAGCTTCATGAAATTGTTAGGATGGATGGCATTTATTTATTTATTTATTTATTTATTAGTTTGGTTTTGCTGGGATTGAAGGCGTGAGCCACCGTGCCTGGCTGAGGGTGCCTTCCTTGCTGAGACTCTGGAGTGGGAGTGCTGACGTAGTCACAGAGCCAATTCGTGTGTGCTCTTTGTGTACTCACCTTCATTCTGTGTGGAGTGTGTGTGTGTGTGTGTGTGTTGGGCTGTGCATGCCACAGCATCTATGCAGGTCAGAGAACAACTTCTGGGAGTGGGTTCTCCCTTTAACCATGTGGTGCCGAAACTGAATTCTGATCTTGGGCACCTTTACCTGTTAAACATCATCTGAAAGAAAGAAAGAGAGAGAGAGAGAAGAGAAAAGTATAGCCTAGCCTACTAGCCTAGGCTGGCCTGCACTTGTGATCTCCTGCCTCACTCTGGCCTTGGCTAGCCTGCTGTTCTGAAGATCAGGCTGACTTCCGGCCTCAGATTTGGTCGGCCGTCCTTCGAGTGTGCTGCAGTTACAGCTTTACACGGCACAGCACCATTTCCAGGCCATGAGCTTGCTTTTTCACTATTATTAATATTTATTTACTTATTTGCTTTTTTAAGACTCATTTTCTGGGATGAAGAATGGCTTGGCAGTTAAGAGGTTAAGAGGTGGCTCTTCCAGAGGGTTCAGTTCCAATACCATGTGGGGCTCACACCTGTCTGTAACTGTGGTTCCAGGGGATCTGACAGCCTCGCCCCCGACCCACATGCAGGCCAAACACCAATGCACATAAGACCTCCAAAAGTTCATTTTTATCTTTTAAAAAATTGTGTGTATGAGAGAGAGAGTGAGAGAGAGAGTGAGAGAGAGAGAGAGAGAGAGAGAGAGAGACTATAACAGAGTATGACAGTGTGAGAGAAAGAGAGAGAGAGAACAGTAAAAGTTGGAGCAATAAGGGGTGGTCATAAACCACCTGATATGGATGCCTGCCAGGCGTGAGCTAGGTCCTCTGGAAGAGCAGCAAATGCTCTTAGCCCCTAAGCCCTCTCTCCAGCCTCCATGTTCTTTCTTAATGTGTTAAGATCAGTCTAAATAGCCAGGCGGTGGTGGCACAAGCCTTTAATCCCAGCACTTGGGTGGCGGAGGCAGGCGGATCTCTGTGAGTTTGAGGCCAGCCTGGTCTACAGAGCAAGTTCCAGGACAGGCTTCGAAGCTACGGAGAAACCCTGTCTCGAAAAACAAAAACAAAACAAAAATCAGCCTAAATATAAAGTAGTTTGAGCTCCAAGCTTGTTTCACACACTGCATCTCAGTATAGTTTCCTAAACCGGCTCTGGGAGGCAGAGTGGGTGGGTGGGGTCCTTTTACATCAGACTTGAAGTCTTAAAAAAAAAATTATTACATTTATTTTGAATGGCGTGCCACAGTGGGTGCTTGTAGGGGTCAGAGAACAATTTTGTTCCTCTCCTTCTACCTTGTAGATCTGAGAACTTAGGCTTCGCAACCTTTACCACTAAACCATCTTGCAGGCGGAGCTTGAAATCTTGTAGCTGAGATTTGAGGGAAAGAAAGCTTCAAATCAAATCAAAACAACAACAAAAATCTTTGCCTTTTATTGATAATAGGATAATTGTCTTTTTGCGGTAATCAGAACTTGTTCGTGAGGGAATGAGTCTGCATTTGACAGGGACTAGACCTAAGAACTCTTCTCTCTAACTCCCACTCCTAAGCCTATGGAAAACAAACCAAACTAGAACATCCTGGGCATTAGGACCCAGTGGAAGTGGCTTGTCCTGACTCTTGGTTAACTTCTGTCAGCGACGCGAGGCAGACCTAGCTCATTCTTCCCCGCAGCCCCCCCCCCTCTCTTGCTCGCTCCTTTTCTCCCCTTTCTCCTCCCCCTCCCTTCTCCCTTTCCCTCTCTCTTTCCCTCCCTTCCTCTCCTTTTTCCCCCTCCTCCCTCCCTCTCCACCCCCTCCCTTTCCTTCTCTCCTTTCTCTCAGTTCTCTAACAGTAAAGAAAACATGCTGCTATCAGTGACTTCCAGGCCTGGGATTTCGACTTTTGGGTATAACAAGAACAACAAGAAGGTAGGAAAATGCTTTTGGGGAATCTTGCGACTTCCTTTCTGAGGGGTCCGGGAGTACCCTTGGTTTAACCATTCTCCTTTAAGAGGGGCAACTAGATTCCTCTCTTCCCCCTTCAGCGCCTCTGCTTCTGCCCCTTCTTTCCCTGCCTTTTCGCACCTGGTTCTGGAGTTGAAGGACTTTAGATCCAGGGTTTGTGAGGCCAGAGACGGCCGGCGGAATAAAAACAGTCAACTTTGCGAGTTTGTATCTTGTGAAATGAAGTTAGTTTGACTGTCTGCTGATGTGCCAATGTTCTTGGGGACAGCGTGTCATCCCAGACCTTGTCCCCAGGCTCATTCCCCACAAGATTATTTTATTTATCACTTGGGCTAATTGTGTCTTCCCCTACCCCCATCCCACTCCCCTTTCTACACAAACCAGGTAGCTGAAGTCGCAGGTATTCCTAGAGGACTCTGGGCTCATCAAGAACTGAGTTTGTTTCTAGACGCAAGACCCTACCCTACTCCACCCATCCTGGCAGAGGAATTTGGGGAGATAACATGCTTTGGGATTAAGGCAGAGAGCTCTGTGATTCTTTGGGTCTTGCCTTTTGAGCGGATACTTGGAACCCTGCAGATAGCCAGGCTCAGCAAGGATTCCTGGAGTCTTTATGATTAACCCGTGGCTGTCCGAGAAGCTCATTTAGGGCTGAGGGAACAGACAGCCTGGAGGGATGGACGGTCTTGCCCCTTTGCCAGAGAATATCCTTGGCAGTTTCTTGGTGTCTCGTGGCCAAGTTCTTGGAGAAGAACTTTAGCAGGAGAACTTCCAAACCATTCTGGACATTGTAGTTGTTCTTCCAGAGTTCTGTGCTTAGTTTCTCTGATGGAATGTTGGAGCTAGAGAAAGGTTCACGTCCTCTCGGACCTGAAGAGACCATTCCAGAGACTGAAACACTAGTATCTCATCAGGGCAGGACCCTAGTAGGTCTGAGTTTATGTGGTATTCATTCTGTTTATATGCTTACAGAAATAAAACTCTACAGCCCGGCGGTGGCACGGGTCATTAATCCTAGCACTTAGGAGGCCGAGGCAGGCAGATCTTTGAGTTCTGAGTTCAAGACCAACGTGGTCTACAGATCAAGTTCCAGGACAGCCAGGGCCACACAAGAAACCCTATCTTGAAAAACCAAAAAGAAAGAAAGAAGAAAGAAAGCAAGGTCTATACATATTTTTGATTATATTATATACATAATGTACCAATATGGATAATGTATAACCTGATTTCCTGTCATATATATTATTCATTTATATGTATGTATGTTTGAAAGGGGAATAGGCCACCTGTTTTTATTCTCCTCAAATCTATATAGTACTATAGAAAACTTCTTTTCTTTTTTCTTTCTTTCTTTTTTTTTTTTTTTTTTTTTGTAAGTTTTGGGGTTTTGAGATGTGGCCTCCGTCTTTACCCCAGGCTAGAGCTCACTCTGTAGCCCAGACTGGTCTTGAATTTGCTGCTGCCCTACTAGGATCACGGGCATGGATGAGCCACTGCACCTGGATCTTTTTTTCTTTTTCTTCCTCTTTTCCTCTTCTTCCTCTTTGTTTTCAGGAGGGTTCTATTATGTAGGCCAGCCTGGTCCTCAAACTGTGATGCTGCTGGCTCAGCCTCCTCTCAGCTCCCAATACAGCTCCTTCCTGATTCTTCTTCCATTCAAGTGTCTCCGGATAACCGTTAAAACAAAACTGAATGAACTTCTGATCTGAATATATCGAAAATGTCTTTCCTCAGCTCTCCACTCCCTGTGGATTATGAGAGGTGTAGATTCCGTAGGTGTAGATTAGGCTGTAGATTCCGTTTTCTGGTTTGGGGGCTGGAGTTTACGGCCTTGCACATGCTAAACA